AAAAAGGGGAAAAAAAAAAAAAAAAAAAAAGTCTTCCCACGTGGTAGAATTAGAGTTTGACCAAACAGGATTTTTTTTTCCCACCTTATGAGAAAGTGTGATTGAGCTTGATAATTACTCTCAGCTTTGGAAGCAAAACTGAAGTGCTCATTTAGCCCTCTGAGTGATAAAACAACTCTCTTTAATTCTTTGGAGTCCTAAAATTGGATCTATTTAGCGAGTTGCTGTGTACTCTGACACACAAAAAACTCCACATATTTGTGTGTATAGTTGTCAGATTCCTCATGAGAGAAATGGAAAAGCCTTTAAGCACCAATATTCACATAGACTTTACACTAAGCTAGATCTGGCAGCCAAAACTTACGAAAATAAAGCAAGGACAGAAAACCAAACAGTCAAAAAATATTAAACAAGACCACAGAGAAAACTAACATAAAATTCAAACTACCCAGTATTTTCCAATTCATTCACTCCCAAGCCTCAGGTGCAGTTACCTGAACTATTTGAACAGAACTACAACACTGGGTTTACATCTGTCAGCTGATTAACAAGAGTTGAGGGCAAGACAAAAATACATAAACTCTATGAAACAAAAACCAGATTTCCTCTTTATGGTTTATCAAGCTGTGTGTGAAGAAGAAAAATGTTTCTTCTCACTCGCTCCAGCTGTTGCTTGTATGCCCAAAAAAATATCAACTTAAACCAAAATCTGGCAACCAAATACTCCTCAATCTTGCTCATGGCTTCTTACTGAAAGAGCAAACAGGCAGAACACCCTGATGTTACAAGCAGAGTCGTAAAGTATGAATGCAACAAGTTTTTCATCATTGTTTGTATAATCTTATCTTGTGCTCCAAAATAGCAGCAGTACAGGAAAAGCATTAGTGATTCCAGGACCCAGGAGATTCCCAGATTACATGGGGGGCACTGAAATAATTACAGCAAGTTTTTAACAGCCACCTATGTGTTTAAACTGTATTGAGTCAGGACAGGCTAGATCAGGGAAGTGGGAAAGTACCTTTTGCTTTTAAATAACCAGTTAAGTTCATTCCAGGGTATATGAAGGTAGTTCTCATCAAAACACTGGTTTGACTATATATGATGCGTGATTATTATTTATGTGTTCGGTCAGGGTTCGGTGGACTCTAGATCCACATCACAAAACCCACCCCACAATTGGCACCTTCGTTATCAACAGCAGAAGAGTAAAGAGGCAGAAGTATTAATGCAGAAGAGGCAGAACGTGGGAAACAGGATATTTCATTCTTCAGCGTTGTCAAACCATCACCGTTCCCTAGCAATAAGGATTCACAAACCCATGCTGCCATGGCCAGGCATCCTGCTGACTCAACTCTCTCATGTACTTCTATTGAGACCGTTTGAAGGTTAGCCTAATATTTAAAGTTTCCGAAGTGCATGGGAAGGAAGGTCAAGGCATCCAGTTTAGTGTGTTCAAAGAACTGTAGTGCAGTGTACAATGAGCTAGAAGCAGACAGGCTAATTCAAGGGGATACTATAGCTTTAAACTTTGTATTTTCCAGGGGGAAAAAAACACCCACAGATCTTTCTGGATCACAAAACAAATCACAGACATCCCCACACTTTCAAAATATGCCAAGATAATATTTATTAACACAGCAGGACTTACAGATCACAAAAGATAGTGATACATAGGAGCTCTTAAGGGCATCATTAGAATAAAGCATGCAGGTCAATATTTGCAGAAGAGAGATATCAGAGCAGATTCAAGAAGGCACATTCACACAGGAAAATGTTTAGTTGAAATAAGACATTAGAAAAGCAGCAAAAAACCTGGTGTTGATTAAAATATACAGAAATTTCCAATAATGCCAAATAAAAGATACTTTTACAGATTTGTAAGTGCAGCAAATTGGATAACCCTTTGAGGATACAAATGGCCAAGGGTAGAAACCCTTGCTGCAACCGCCAACTGAATTTGAAACCAATGTTGATGCACGCAACATGGCTCAATGCTGATTAAAACACTTTAGTGTCAGAAAAAAAATAAAAATAAAATTTGGTATAAAAGAAGCAGCTGAGTTGAAAATCAACAACATGCAGCAAGTGCTCAAAGGGTTATACTGAGTATAGGCAAGAGAAATCAGGCAACATTAGTACAGTCTACCTTCCACACAAAGAATTGGTACAAAGTTTAAAGAGACAGTATCCCCTCTACAGAGAGCTTGAAAAGGGTCCCATCCCCCCCCCCCCAAAAGCTAAAGTAATTCAAATTGGAAGGGTTGATTTTCCTCCATTCCCTACGCCCCACTGCAGAAAACCTGCCCCTTTACTCCCAGAATCAATAGTGTAAACTCTCAGTGGGCAAAGTGTAAGACTCCTGTATCGTTGTGCTAGTGCCAGAAATGTCAAATAAAGAGTTTAATAAGCCCCAGCTCCTCCAGTTCATCATTTTACATACTTGCACAGTCCTTGCAGACAACAAAAATCACTCCCAGTGGCTGGTCAGCCATCTCCTTGTAATAAGGACTATAAAGGGATACTGTCCCCTTCTAACATTAAATTTACAGAGGAAAAAAATAAATAAAAAAGCAGATTTTATGTAAACTGATAAAAAGAAAAAAAAAAGACTTGAACATCACTGGTTCATAGCTTGAAATGTATCCAACGTACATAAAGAAACACATGAGCACAAATATCATTGAGATATTTTAACAAATATGGTTCAGAACAAGCTCGACTGTGAAACCAAAAGAGGAAGTGTAATAAAATTCTCCTTGTGAAAAACATCTAACTTGGCACCGTGAAAGAATACAGACTTTTCTTGGTTTGGTTTCAGAAAAATAGCTTCTAATTAATACTTCAGAGTTCAAAAGTTTTGCATCAAGCTCATGATTAGCTAATCCCTTTAAACAAAAACAGCAACAAAAAATATCTTTCCTGCCACAAATGGCAATTATCAGTTACTGATTGCTGTGGCCAATGAAGCTCATATATAGGAGAAGAGCTACATAAATCAAGCTACCACCAAAAAGGCTAGAAAAATATTAGGAAAAAGTGCTTTCAAAACCAAAGTAAACATTCAACAACACTCTGTAGGTACTACATTTTTAACAGCCCATTAAGCTTGGAATTTTTCCCAAGCAGTAATATGAAAAATTAAATGTCTTTGCTAATAAAATTATTCCTGATATTTTGTACCCTGTTATAGAGTATCTTCCATGTCAAAGTCACCAACTTAATATTCTCCCCTACTTAAAAATATCATATAATGCAAAATTACAGTACTTTTTTCCTACCCATCTCTGCAAAAATGGAAGAAATATTTCATATGGAAATAACCAATTCTTGCAGCAATAGTTTTACATTTACAATTTGTGTGCCCCTCCATTCAAAAAAAGCCTTCAATTCTATAATAATTGTCACTAGAACACAGTAATATTTCCCGTAATATTAAAGGCCACAAAACGTTGAACTACATTTTCTCTTTCTATGTACATATAAAAAGAAAAAAAAAAAACAGGACACTTGGGAAATTTGTATTATGATATGCAAACAAATTGGAGATGCTTAGTTCATGGTCTCTTGGGAATACTTTCATAAAGGGAAATTAAAAAGGGTAATCGATAACCTAATAAGGATATAGTTAAGTCACTTGGTTTTAAATTTGGCTCCATAAGCTAATGATTACCATACTAGCATATATAGGCTCTTTGCATGATTACGTCCAGTGAGTATTAACTCTAAAGTAACTAGTTTCACTTCATTTACAGTAACACTGTCTATAATACCTTCGTTTCCAATACGACTGAGTGCTGGCTAATAGTGGAAGCAACCCCACTTTAAAGGGCACTGGCTGGAAAATTGTTCAGTGACAACGCAAATTAGTGTTCTGCCTAAATTTTCAGAAGCAAGGAGTGGACCAGGTCCCCCCAGCCAGGTGCTCAGCTGAAACCACAAGATTAGAGAAAGGCTCTCAATGCCACTGATCAAGTTTGCTCACATGGGATAACACTGTTTGCTTTTGAAGAGTTTCCATTCGAATCTCTTCAGAGACACAAACGCTAATGGATATTCGTTAATACTGCGTGGTCACATCTCAAAAATAAACTAGGATTAAATCCAAACAGCCCAATCTAGAGTTGCCCAAGACAAACAACAACACTGCCCTGTGAAGGGTTGGCAACTAGCAGGTGCACACATTTAGAAGCCTTTCACAGCTGAAAGACTAGTGCATAATACTGTAATTTAGCACACAGAGGAACGTTATTGACATCTCCCCATTGCCTATGTTACCAGAGCAATCTAACCAATTCCTCACCTGCTGCTGGAGGGTGCTGGCCACTAACTGTTGGCAAATCCAAAGAGCTATCAGACATGACATGCTTAAGATCTCCTCCCACATCAGCCAGTTTCATGTCAAACTGAACAGAAAGGGCGTCTTCAGAGTCCTCCTTGCCCACGCTGCTGCCACCAATGGAAGGGAGATCCAGAGACTTGACAGAAGCAGAGTCTTCTTTAGCCTGTTTGAATGCTGCTACTTTGTCTACCAAGGATTTATCGGCATTACTGCACGTGGAAGAAAACTTGTTAGAGTGGAAATCAGCAAAGTCGTCATCACTTTTCACAGAAGAAGGGGTGTTGTCTTTCAGCTCCTCAAAGCCCAAGCCAGCACCCTCCAGAGAAAGCTGCTTGAAGATATCATATTTAGTGGGAGCAGCAGCACAATTCTGCCCAGCCTTCATCGCACTCAGAGAAGAACTTGTTGAAGGACCAGGACTGGTGTCTTGTTTTAGAGCATTGTATTTGTCATCTGTTTTTTGTTCAGAAAAGCCACTACTGTTATTGAACGCCATAAAATCCGCAAAATCATCTTGTGCCCCAGCTGATGCACAATTTGGAAACCCTCCAAAAAGGTTGAACTCTCCAAAGTCATCAGCCACGCTTGAGCTTTTACTGGGTGCTAGTTGAGTGGTAGATGTTGGAGGTGGTGGTGCAGGGAAAGAGGCTGATTTTGAAGAACTAAAGGCAGGTGGAAATGGAAGCGTTTTGTTCTCTCCAGGGGAGGAAAAGAGATCTAGGTCTTCCAGATTCAGAGACGGTTTTGCTTGCGCTTGTTGCTTTGACTGGATAGGAAGGGAAGAGAAGGATGGAGGGAAAGTTTTCTCTTTTGCAGATGGGTCTAGTGGTGAGATGCTGTCAGCGGTTTTGAAATCTGTGAATCCATCATCGGTTCCTGCAGATTTGAATTCTGCAAAGCTATCTCCTCCTGAAGGTGAGAGGAAAAAGCAGAACAATATGTAAGATCTTAAAATGAAAGCAGGCATGCCACACGCACACCATGCAAACAAGTTATTTCATGCAACATCACAATGTTTTAATGAAACCCTATTCAAATACATAGCTACGGAGGCATATTAAACTGCAAATTAGATGTCTGAAGGCCACACAATTTTTGAAAGTTCAATACTTCTCCATTTTTGTCATCTCAAAAAATTTACAAATACATAACAGCCTCAAACCACATGAAACTCACTTTCATGAATTTAATATCAACACCTGCTTTTAAGTGAAAAGTTTAGGAGGTGCTCAATACTGTATCATGTTTAGTCATTGGACATATCCTTTTCTGTTCTCAGAACCTGCCACTGCTCTGTTATAAAATGTAGATCTTGTACACCTTCTGCTAGAAACCTATTCTCGTCACCCCTTTTCTACCACTCCTCACTTCAAAATACTGGCATTTTGAAGTCAGAACTACGGCACATGGTTTCTTCAGAGGACAGCAGCAGCACTGGCAAGCTGAGAGAGGAGGACAGAAGGAACAGACTGATCTGCAAAGTCAGCAGCTGGCCTCAGATACCAGACAATCACTTTTTTAAAAAACATTTGTATTCATTATGGAAAAAAGGAAGATCATAGAAAAGGTAGAGATTACAAGATACTTTCTACACAATAAGGAACTGAACTAAAAGGAAGAGAAAACACCCACCAGCATACCAGTTCAACAACATCCTAACTTATCCTTGTGGACCATTTTACACCTTCCTTCTAAAAGCCTACTTCCCTTCACCTACCCAGGTTGTCCAAACATGGAGGAAAGGCAGTCAAGCAATCAGAAGTTTACAAAAGCTTAAAAACACAGGTCTTGTTCATTTTCATGATGCATTGCTCCCAGCTCTGACTAAGACTGATTACAACTGTATCTAGGTACCTACAGATTAGAGCTGTATACCTTCCTTTCGAGCTGTAACAGAATCAGTCTTAAGTTTAAAATAATTTCTTAGACTGCAAACTGAATGTAATATAAGGAAATTTAACTGACCATCATTTCAATACTCGGAGAAAGGGGTTTCTTTTGTATTGAAAGACAGAATGTATGAAAAAAAAAAAAAAAAAAAAAAAACTTAGAAAGCTGATTCACCAAAACCTTTTAACCACACAGAGAATGAACCCTGAAGTAAAGCAGAAATTTATTCTACATTATGTATCATCTCACAGCAATCTGAAAGTCAAAGTGCAATTTTTTTCTGTTAAATTTGTTTAACCCATTCACCAGCATCTCTCTGCACAAATATCACTTGCTACAAAATATGCATCAATTACTTCACAAGACAGCAAAATGCCCAACGCATACACAGATTTCAATTCATATTTAAAAAAAATGCACCATTAAGATTCAAGTCAGTTTCACAAATGCTGCCATAGCTACCACACCACCATGTGACATTTTAAGTTGGCTTAAGCTATGAAGATTTGAGAGGATTTTTGTTACAACTGTATTAAGCTGACATGAATGTCACCTGAAATATAATTTTTCTTCAGTTCACCTGGTCCAACAACAGTACAAAGAATTTGTGAAATTGACTTTCATTAACCAAAATTAAAACATCACAGCAAACTAAACTTACTGACGGATTGCAAACTTTTCCATTAGAAATGTAAGCTGGTGAAAGGGTTAAAGGTGATCAGAGCTAGACAGTTTGCAAATTCAGAAATAACTCTCTTTTTCCTTACAAGTAATAAAGCAGACAGACACAAATCAAGTGAAACAAATGAATTCTAATGTCTGATCCTGGAAAGCTGATGAATCTCAAATTCTGCACCCAAATCAGGTTTCTATTACAGAATTTGGTCGAGAGGTCCTGGCACTATATTTTCTGTATTCATGCATATGTTTTCTTCCAGAAGCCTTTCCTCCTCTTTAAATACAGGGACAACACGTAGGCAGAGCCTCAGAGTAGATCTTCTCCTGAAGCTAAATTATCAAAGCATTTATCCTATGCTTAGCTTAGCAACACTGTGGGAAACCAAGAGGGTTTCAAAGATTTCTTTCCCATCAAATTAAAAAGGTGACCAATGCTGCTTATGCTATGTAGATGAATTACAGATGGCATGCTCTGGAAAGAGCTTAGGTAGGCTGCTCTGGCTGCAATTACATGCAAGTAGTATGTCAAAGGGTTGTTAGGTTTAATTCTCACATACTCTCAGAAATTAAAATGATTGATTAAGGGCAAACTGGCCCCTCTGAGCTAAATAAGCAACTCTATTAGCAAGGTTCCGCACACCAAAAACAGTGCACTAGAGCGAGCTATATGTACCGTAACAACATAAAGCTTCAAAACAAGGGAAAAAATTACAATTTACACCCCAATTACCAACTTCTAAGCATGTACAATTCCTCACTCGTAAAGCCAGCCTATATCAAAAGACGACAAAATCCTATCGCATACTGATCCAAGGTTAGTGTCCATGTGCACCTACAATGGAGGGATTAGTCTTCCACAACACACACAAACGCAAAAAACTGTGGAAAGTTTTAATAAAGATCGTAAAAGACGTCAGGAAGATTCCTGCTGACCTGTTTGGAGGAGCTGTAGAAGCACCACCCTTGAAGCCCAGCAATGGGACTTTTTCAGTTCATGCAGGATCATTAAAAAACCTGGATAAAAATCCTTAAAACAGCTCTATGAGACCAAATGCTTACCTAGGTATTTACTCTCTGACGGCTGTTCTAATTCTCGGAAAGCACTGTACTTGTCTCCACCATCTATTGGAGTACAAAGAAAAAAAGGATCATTTACATTAAGATTTGCAAAATTAAGCTGCAATCAACTATACTGCAGATTAAACTGGCACAAATACTATCATCTTGCATGCTAAACATTGCGTATTAACATCATACCAATATCAAAAGCAACACTGAAATATGAACAATTAAGCTAAATGTTAAATTACATGCAATTCAACAGTTTGTTTTACCTCCAAGTGTAGCTGCACTTTCAGAAGGCTTATCAACAGCAATTCCTTTAAACACAGCGTATTTATCAGTTGAAGAAGGTGTTTTAGTGCCAGATAGTGGCATTAGCAAAGAAGGAACACTAAAGGCAAAAAAAAGGAGAGAAAAGAAAAGACACATAGACTCATAGTTCCTTTATGCACCATAAGAAATCTGTAATCCTCCCTAAAATTTAAGGCAAACAGAAATTAGGACATGAATTACTGGTTGTGCTCACATATTTAAAACACATGTTTTTCCCACCATTTGATAAAAGGACTCATTTGACTACTGCATTTTAAAACTACATTTACAAAGGAGCTGTACAGTAATAATATCCCTATGCCAGCCCCATTCATCTTAGACAAGTTATTATCCCACTGAAATTTTAACTATAGTCCACTGGGCCACAGAGAAGAAAGGTGCCTTAAAACCTCTTAATTTTTACATGGGAAAAAAAAAAAGGGAGTGAAACTTTTCAGATACGTGCCACAGCAGTTGTTGAGCCAGAAGAGAACACAAGTCCTTGTGAAACACTGTAGTTTCATCAATCATATCACCCACAATGACTTAAGTACAAGTATCCTTGAAAGGACTAGAAAAAGAGTAACAATCACTGGCTGCATAAGACTTTGAAAACCCAGGGCTTCCAAGTCTCCGCTTTTGATTATATTACATTGCATATTGCAAAAATGAGATGAGAACAGATCCACTTTTCCAATATAAGCAAAAGGCAAAGTTTGAATTTCTACACAAGGCTAAATCAGCAAGTTCAGGTAGCCATCTATTCAGCCAAGTAAGGATTATTCCATAATTATACAAACATACTTTCTGCACAAATGCGTTCTATTCTGTACAGTAAGCTTCCGTAATAACCCAATCCTGTGTTAGCAATTCCTGAAAGATTTAAAAACGTAATGTAAGAGCTTTGCTTCCTGCTCCCGCCCCTTATCAGACCCTGGCAGCTCTGCAGAACAGCATCCTTTACATATGAATGACTGCATTTTACTTGTAGTTTATGCCATTCAATACTATGCACATTGAAAATGTGAATGATTTCTATGGAGTTTTTTGGCCTACAGCAAGAATTCTTCCAGAGCCATTTAAAATGCCTTATCAGTGGCTTACAAGCAACATACAAACCTCGCACTTGCACACTCCTGCTAATGGTGGTCTGTGATGCGATGTCACAGTGCAATGTCAAAATATAATATATTTGCCAAGATTGGGTGGTAAATTATGTTACCATAAGCTCTATTTGTATATAGAGCTTATGGTAACATAATTTAATTTCACATCACCACAAAACAGGCGGTTTGATATCCAATCTCAGCAAATATAACGATTAATCATCAGCACTCTACAGATGGCTTTCTTTTAAATAAAGCTTCATAAGCAATTAGACTATAGTTCATCATAACAACCTGTTCAAAAGGCGAATGCTTTTACAACCAAATAAAGGGAACTACTGTGATGGAAAAGAGAAATCCCTGATGTCTCATGATCCAACTCTGATTATGGAGCTTTTAACAAAAACTATGCTTCTGCCAAGGCTTTAATTAATAGAATAATTTTATTAATGGCAAAACTAAGAAGAATATAAAACAAAGCCTAATAATATATGAAGCACCTTCAGATTAATGTAGTGCTATTGATTTAAGCTAGCAAAATGAAATTCCTTTCATGAAAAGCTATGACTCAAACTGTCATTTTACGCACACTGCAGCTGAACAATTCACTCTATTTTTGTCTGAAGTCATTGTCAAGGAAGCAACTAGCAATCACTAATCACCTTTAAACCATTTGTTCCATTTGCACAGAAGAACTACCCACTTGATACAACAAAGAAAAAAAGACAAGTTCTGTACCCAAAACTGATTATAGTTAGGTAATTGGAAGCAGTATATTGTTCTACCCTACACAGCGTGAACGAATACAATTTAAGGACTTCTTGAACACTAAAAGCTGGAAGCCAGCTGTGTGAAAGGTTAATATTTAGACTTAAATCAAGGAAGCAGGGTTTTTGCTACTCCACACTGCTCATTCCGTGGCTGCTATGGGAATATTCTATAACGACTACATAACTTGCAAGGTGTTGAGCGACCACAATCCTAGAAGACTGCTAAAGCATAATGAAAGAGAAATTTGAAGGCAATCGTTACAATTCAAGGTCAGGCCAAAATGGAAGACAGCAGAGTAAGATGCATTAAAAGACACTACCCAGTGGAGAGATACAGCCATTTAAAAGAAAGAGTTTGAAGGACAACCCTTATCGCATGAGGTTTGGGGACCATACCAAGGACCTGCTCAAAGGCAGGGGACATCAGTAGGCACTGGGCCAAGCCTTTATTGACAGTAAATAATACCAAGTGCAGAGTTTATCTCATTCAGTACCTGTTTTCCTGAGTGTACTGGATCGAGTAGGTAGCTTTATATAAAGATACAAGCTTGAATTCACCGTGTGAAAGAACTTGCGACTGCCAGTACAACAGGATAAACACTTGAAAACCTATTCCATACCGTTTTTATCCAATTTATCTCAGCATGAAGAATGAAATCCTCAAGAATGGCCAACCATCTATGGTACATCAAATGTCAGTTTTGATGCACTGCAATTAAGATTTCTGAAACCATTGATAAAAACTGCCAGAGTCAATATGGGGTGATGGTACAAAACACGTGTTAAAAAGGTGGAAAACATTTCTTAAAGGATTTTTAATTTTCTGGAAAAAAACACCCTCAGATCTACTCTACCTGCTCCGGTGCTGAGAACTGGTGGGTTTGGATGATCCAGGTACCTCCCCTTGGAAGTCAGTGAAAGACTCATCAAGTGAGCCAGACTTTGAAGCATCTTGAAAATCCTGGAAGTCGTCGTCTTCTGGTTTTACTACCTGGATCATAGAAATTAATGATTTTTAAAAATATATACAGAAATATGCACCTAATTAGCAACCTGCCTATAAATCCACTGAAAAAGCCTTAAATAAAGATCAACAATTAAAAAAAAAAAAAGGGACTAGACAAGGCCCTACAAAAAGGCATTAAATGATACTGAACTGGTCCACGTGAACAAAATCTATTGTTATCTCACTCTTCTACAGCTCTACGGACAGAGTGAATTGTGTGTTAGAAGCTGACACCTTTTATTCATCCATGAAATAAGCAGAGCGTCTTCTGTACAAAGTTCCTCCCACTGTCCCACCAACATACCTAGACCTTGCTTCTGAAGATCCATTTCTAGATGCCAGATTATTTACTCTGCGTATCATTTGAAATCTTTTAAGTAAAAGGCATTAAAACAGGCAAGAAGGGTGTCAGTGTGGTAACTGCACCCATCACTGGTATTACAGTGCTATAGAAACTGATGGTGCAAATTACAGCATCAACGCTGTTAGGTTGCACAGTGCCGAATATTTTGACATTCGGCTGTATTTATCTGATATGTCCAACCTATCATCTACGCTTTTCAAGGCCAACATTTTTTTTTTTTTTTTTTTTTTTTTTTTTTTTTTACACACTGCCGCTACCCAACAGTTGATGCCTCCAGCTTCCTCCTGACAAAGTCTAGCGATATGCCTACTCATTATCAATACAAAGTTCTGTGGTGCGATGAAAGTTGGAATTTGTAGGAAAGGATAATTAAATTTGCCATCCCATTAAAACAGAGGAAATGCTGTAGGAATTGTACTACTGATTTTCATATTTTAAAATCAATAGGCCTATCACAGAACCTCTGGTCTACCATACCACAGAAGAACAGCCAGTTAAGTTAGAGCACTAGCAAGGTGCACTTAATTTCAACTCCCCACATCAGTCTGGTGATCAGACACTACACTGCCTTATACAAGGTTTCCAGGTGCAGCCTACTTTGAACAGCAGATGATAAGTGATCTTTTGGTTTTATTATTTCTGACATATGAATGCTAATTTATGTTTTAGTTTCCATTCCTGGGTTGCAACTTTTTAATCCTTCTTTTGAACAAAGAGGTCATAACAGACTTGAGAGAGAAGCAGTTGCAGCTGAAATTATTTTCCATAGGAGCTAGTGGCCACTAGTAGACCCAGTACCAAGATCATTCAATATGCTATATACTAAAGTCAGGACAGATTTACAGAGGACAGACAGGAGAGGCATACATCCCAGAAGTCAAGAGAAGGAGACAGCAGTTACAGAGTGGATATATTGGGCACAACTCCAAAGCATCCAGAAATGTTTGCTCAGTTCAGCAGAACATGGATTTTTCAATTACCTAGGCTTACACATATTTTGTTTTTATATTTCAAGCACCGAAACCATGAAGGTATAACCCAGAGTGCCATGGCTGAGTGATATCAGTTCTCTTTATTGTTTCAAAAAAATCTGAGAAAGACTCAAGCTATTTCATGTACGCCAGACAACTCAGCTATTCCATCTTTCGCATGTTGTCCTATTTAATCTAATGATGATATATTACTACTAGCTTTGAATCAGGATATTCTTGCTTTCTGCAATATAGCTTTGCAACAATTTCTATTCTTATCTAACCATGGAAATAAAGGATAAAGGGCCACACACTCTTGCTTTCTTTCCTCCAAACTATGATACATTAACTCATGTAAATCATTACTTGTTGCTTAACATTCCTGTAACTCACCTGACAAGGCTGGCGAAGCATGAAATGAAGACTTGGTAATATTTACAATTCACTCTAGATATAAGGAGTTGCACAACATGAAAAAAATCTGTAAACTAAATTTGGTGATTGCTACACTTCTGCGCAGTTCCCTGAATATCTGTATTAGCGAAGACTATGCCGAAAACAAACCTGACATTACAGGGAAATCAACCAGCATTGAGAAGTCCAGATCAAAAATCAACCACGTAGCTAATTTTTCAGGCTTCAAGAAAAATTGGAACAAATTTCGAAGATCCTGTTCCACACAACCATGGTAAATAAATGCTGAAAACTACAAACCTAGAAGAGGTTTAGGGTTGCAATACATGTTCAAAAGATCTGTTAAATATAAAATTTCATTTTGTTCACATGAATGCCCCAGATACTAAAAGCATTAAAATTAAAATCGGCCAAGTTATCTTTGAATATAGGAAGAACATTATGCAGGCAAATCGCTAAGTACACGTAGCAACACATCAAAAGAAATTATGTGGATTCAGGACAAACCGAACTGACTACCAAGATCAGTTTCTGTTTCTAGAAAGCACTGAGTATTAGGCAGATCTTTTTCTTTGTCTTTGGGGCCAAACTTTCTTTCCTACCTAATGAACTTCTTTTTCATTTTACCAGTCAGGTAATAGACACCCCTGTTTTGTTTAAACACAACTCACTTTAAATACTGTATCATCTCAGCTACCAGAAACACCTTCTGTGACAGGAAAGTTTCAAAATGGAACCAATCCTTTTTCATTTCACTTGGACAGGTTGAAACCAAGTGGCTTACAGTAATGTGGTTTTACATTGCCAAAATGGGCACGTTTTAGATTTCCGTTTCATTTTTATGGCTTACTTAAAATCCAGTTTTCGTCACAAAGCCCTGAAACAAAGTTGGGCTAATTCCTTTTCAGAGATAACAGGTTTATCATGCAATACAAAGAGCACCAACCTGATTTGTAGGGTAAGATGGCATGAAACTACTAGAAACCTGTGTTGTAGCTCCACCCACTGGTGTTGTTATGTTTAATCCTATGACTGCCTGTCCAATGTTCAGAGGCATGGAGACTGGTGGTCCAGAGGGCATCATAGGCTGCTGACTCACTGTAGCAGGTAATGAAATTGGAAATCCACTTAGAGTAGGGACAGGGGCAGTTGGAAATTGGTTTAAAACGTCAGGACTCATTGCAGGTACTCCTCTCTGTTCAGGGGGAAAAAATAGAGACAGCTGTATGCAGTGCATGTTACACACAAGCATTCCTTCTTTAGGTGTTGTTTCCCAGCCAAATTTATGCCAGTGAACTAGGAAGCAGCAGAGACTGTCACCCTTGACTTCTGCCTTTTGCAAGCAAAGAGTCTGAGTTTGATGCGATTAAGGTAAATCCTACTTAAGACACCTGATGCTGAAGCTTACACAACTTATGGCACAGTGCTAAAGCCCAGACAGGTTCACACACTCACTCAGACTTCTTGCGCTCTTTTTAGTCAGTGGGTTGGGTAACCACTAGCTAAAGCCAAGCTGAACATGATTTGTTGCTGTTTTGTCCCCTCCCAAACAGCTCTGATGAAGCACAACAGAACTGACCTTCACTGTCCAAGATACAGTCCAGGTTTCTTTTATGTCAACTTTTAGCCCTACGACAACGATAAGATTTGTGTTGTGTTTTTTTTGAGATTTCACACAAGTTTCAAATAAAACTAGAAACACGTGCGACATTTCACTAATGACCCAAAACAAAAATTGAAACTGAACAGCTAGCAAAGCTCCTCTACTGTTCAGGTCCTCAAATATATAGTGGTAGGCACAGTATTGTCCTTTAAATAAGTATGCACAGAGCAGAATAGAAAACACACATTCAATTATATATGTGCAAAAAAATGCAAACAGGTATCAAGAGAGAGAAATAAAATCAGCTATAGATGCAGAGGGTGAAATCACAGTTTCACTGAAGTGAACAGGCACTTTGCTGGGGACTTCAGCATAGCCAGTATTTTCACCGTGTGGTATAACACAGGCACATGTTTAGGCTCAACATACAGCAGAAGAGTTGCACGAGTCATTTACAACGCAGCGAGGGGAGATTAGTCTCTCTCTCCACTCCGATGCAAATTCTTAGTCAATCATACCTGAGTTACTGCAATCATAGCCAGGACAGTATAAAGTTCTTCTTTTGTAAGTTTCCCAGGTGTGGTACGATTGGCTAACGCCCATATTTGTCCAAGGGTTTCTCTGGGAAGTCCAGATGACATCAAAATGGGATAGAGTTTAGCAGTATCTATTCCAGTAGCAGTCATAGTGTTTTCTAAAATTTTCTTATATAATTCTGTTAAGAAGAAAACAGTGTTGGATGATGAAAACTGCATATTTTTCAAGTGATTTTCCATTCCAACCATAAAATTACATTAAGGGTTACAATATTGTTGACATGGAATGTTACTCATTTGATGAAACACCCATGCTCTGGCATCATGTCTGAACCTCCCATTGTGTTTATATTGGACTAAAATTAGATATTCAAGTTGAAACAAGCAGGTTAGGACAAAAGAAGTTTCCTTCCAAAAAAGCCAAGAGCCAGAGAGTAATGTTAATTATCAAAAAAAAGTGCATAAATATCTTGCGTGCAACTCTGCCAAAAAACTTGAAGCCTGTTGGAAGTATCCTTCAGTATCACGCAAGGAAAAGAAAATAACACGACTCATTAAACAACTTACACTTAAATCTGAGATGATTAACAGCATCCATATTTATATCAAGATATTTCCCAGTGAACAAATCACTACCCAAGAGAACATCTAGCCAAAATTTCCCATTTCCCTTTCTCTGAACATGCAAGTCAATGAAACATGCTGCTTACAATAGGTTTTCAGAAATTTAGAAGACACTCAACGAGATCAAGTCTGCAGGTGTAACTGAACTATTACATGGCATGATTCAGGATCTGACATTACAAAAGACTTCTAGCTATTCCTTCAGACACTAAAAGAAATTACCTTAAGCCTCACCAGATTTCAGCAGATTCACTGTACCTACTCGATGCAATAAAAGACTTGTATTCTAAGACTAACACTGTCATCATGAAACTGGGTATCAACTGATCACTGACACCTATGCAAATCCACACAAATAGATACAAAGCACAACTAATTCTCTTTTATAAATATCATTGCATATTTTCATAACAAGGTCTCAGGATAACCCTTGTAAAAGGTAGCCACAGCAGCATTATGTAGTTAAAATTCAGCACCATCAATATTTAGCGTGACACTTCATTTCCTGTTTACTATGCTTCTTGCATACAGAAAGCAAATAACCTTAAGAAATGAGTCTGCTTAATTACAAGATACTAGAGGGAGACAGCCCACAAAAAACAGAGTATCAACAATGGCAATTCCTCCTAGGATAATTTGCCATCATTACAACCTCAAGATTAAATATTGACTATGTCTGAAGAAACTCCTGCCTTCTCTGAATGCAGATAAAGGTGCCAAAGCTAGGTTATGCATCAAAAACATGTTCTCAAATGCTTGCCAGTTTGTCCCCCAGTCTGAGATAAGGTAAAAACACTGTCTGAATAGTCTCCTCAATGCCCTACTTGGAAAGGATGACCCTCGTCACTGGTGTGGTTTGCTAATGCTGCTATCAGAGCCAACAAATATCATACATATTTAGACAATAATACTACTACTAACCAAGCCCCTGGGAGAGGATTTTTAAAAAACCTGATTGACAGTTTAAATGAGCGGACTAGAAATTTAATCAGCCATACTTCCTACATGTAGCCAAAGGAAAAAAAAATGCTGATATTAGCCAGCAGATGTTCAGACAAACTTTGCAATGCAAACAACGGTGGCTGGAAGTGTGGCAACTACATGACTGAATGGACACCTAAAGTTAAGCTTGTGTGTTTGCATTTACACACACCACATGTGGTTGTCCACTATGGAAAATATGACAGTTCACAGTCCTACTCAAAGGAGTAACAGTACTGTAGTTACCAGGGACATAGCTAGGTCATCTTTTTGCATTAGGCCAGTCAGATTAGAAAATCATACCAGATCTTTCTGGTTCAAAAACCTATTCCTTTATTTTTGATGCCACAAGGCAACTTGGATTGTTTCATTGGCTGGTGTCACCTTTATTCTTAACAAGTGCTGTTCAAACATTCACACAGACTAGTATTACTCACCTCAGGAAAAAGATATCTGTATTTGATTTTTTAAGCCAAGAACAAAGAACAAAAGCTACAGTATTCGAAAGGTCTATGTCAAATCTGAAAAAGGTTGGGATTTGGAATTTTTATAATAGATTAAAAAAATATATATATATATCGGCATAAAAGATTGAGCATGTGGTGTACAGATTTTTTTATATTTTTTTTTATCTATAAACAATATTTCTGCAAAATATTTTTTTACCTGGAACCACGTTATCATTGTAAATCCAAGGTGGCATTATCTGCTGGATTGGCTCCTGTGAAGGGAACACTCCAACACCTAAAAGTATGCCATTCATTAGAAGGAAAAAGAAAAAAAGAAACAATCATCTTAGCAACACTAATTCAAAATAGGAAGATACCCATCATGTATATTAGTACTTCAGCCAACACATGGAACAGTTTAGCTACAGAAGACACAAAAATCCATTACCTCTCCCTGAAAAGTAGTATGACTTGAAGCAGTAACAAACACAATTAACTGCACACAATGAGATAAAGAGCTATTCATTTTCCAACCTTAGCTGTTTGAAAAGAAGCACAGGTCTTATGAATTTCAAACATGTCATAAATAGTTCTCCCATTTCTACAGGCATAAGGCGAATGGGAAGGAAGTTAGTCGTTCATGGAGTAACTGAACTTGTATCTTCTGAAACAAATTTAGGGATGCTTCACTGCTTTATTAAAAAAAGAAATCCTTCCTAGTAAAAGCGACAAACATAATCTGTTGTACTGGCTTTCCCCATTAATCCCCCTTTTCCTCCCCCATTGCAAAAAAAACAAACAAACAAACACATATGCATTGCCTTATTACATCTACCCACTCTGGCTGAATGAGTCCTTTGCTATTGCAAGACTCCAGCAATACAGTCTGCCCTCTCCAGACCCCTATGCTTTCACTCTCCAAATTCAAAACTTATGTTCATTTCCCACCATCACCACTCAGGCAAATCGAGTTTGACATTTTTTCCCCCTGGTCTGACAGCCCCTCACTGGATTTGATCCTTGCCCAAGACCTCAGTCAATATTCTAACATACTCTTGACCTCTGCAGCCTTTTTACTTTGCCACTTTTCCTTTTCCTGCCTGTTCTTTTCCTGCTGGTGATCAATTATCTGCTCTTTACCTCTTATTTTTATAATCCTCCTTATATCACCCATGTCCTGGTTATGGCTGATCACCCACCCCATAAAAGCATTACTCAGGAAGTGACCTTCTCTCCACTCTGAAGAACCCTGACTTGCATATTCTCTCCTAACTGATTTGTGTGCTTGCCCTCCCTCTTGCTGGCCCTCCTCCCACAGAGATCTGCTGTAAAAGCACAGGGATCTGGAACACTGCTTTGTCCTCCATTTCTCCCCAGCTCTCTCAGATCTCAGGTTTCATTTCTTTGCAGGCCAGCTGTGGACCCTCGTGTATGCCAGTTGCTGACTTGAGGACAAGTAATGAATTCTCCAAATTCATCCTTTAGCTAATTTAGACTCTATAGGGATTCCCTCTGGACCACGAAAGTCTAAATTTCCACTCATCCCTCACTGTCAAGGGTGTTGAAGACAGGTTGTCTTCTTCCATAGCAGCCAAGTAAGAGATATTTGCTTCCTTCTTTCAATCGAAGTTTGCTGTCACTTGTAGCTTCTTTGCTCTTCATTCATCTTCAGACATTCTCATTTCCCTCCTCTGTCTCCTTCAGTTCTTCCATTCCTGCTTCCCCTGTATATTCCCAATATAATTTTAGCCCCTGAGTCTCCTATTCTGGCCCCTCCTTTCTTCTCCTCCTCACACCCTTGCTTTGTACATTGCCAGTCTTTTAAAAGATTTGGTCTCTTGGTAACTTCCAGCTCGCAGAAGTCTGCCACCATCTGCCAGCTGCTTGGGAAGAAAAACAACCAAAAAACCCCCCCACTCCCTTGTTCCCAAAATTATAATTTTATCACTTTAGTTTTCTTACCACGTTTTTTAAATAAAGCTCCTTTTCTGCCTTCAAATCCCTTAATAATACTCTGAACCATTTTCTGTAACTGTTTGTACTTGGGCTGCAGTACAGATATGTTAGCGTCACAACCTCCTTTTGAAACTCCTGTTCCCAGACTGACCTCCTGTCTCAAAAAAGTTCCCATCAAGTTCAAGTCTTCCAAACAAAATCTCTTCGCTTCCTTAAACATCTCGAATTCTTTTCCTATCTTTGCAGCTAACTGCAGGACAGCCACGTTTATATGAAAGACAATATTATGTTGTATTAATTGCACAGTAAATAAATGAATAGCTCTTATTTCACGGTGTGCATTGCAGATGCACTTGAAATAAAGTCACGCAGCAAATGGCTAACGTCACCTGCTAAAAGTGCTTCTTAAATTATTCTAATGAGCTTTTCAATTTTATCCTGTAGCCAACAGTTTTTAATGTTAAAAGCAACTGTTAAGAGCAATGTTATCAAAGCAGCAATCAAAGTAGTACAGAGAGGATTTTTAATTAAAAGTGAAGATACTGGCAAGATACCAGTCCTTTAAGAAAATGCACGACTTGAAGTTCAGTTATCTGTTAAAAAAAATAATTAAAAAAAAGATCTAGGTGTCTTCCAAAGACCTTTAAATATAAAGCTAGGACCACCTCTTAATATACTGGAGTACATCTGAGTAGAAAATTTGAGGATGTGATCAAGCATGACTCCAAAACGTAGTAAAAACTTCAGTCTGTTAAACGATCACATTTTTGTCTTTGTTTCTGGTAGAGTTTTGTTTTCTGAAGTGCAGGCTTTTTTAGCGAGAGACACATGCAAGATGACTGGATATTTATTATGGAAACTGATATTAATCAAGCCAAGTCCTAGCATCATAAGAACTTTTCTTCATAAGAAAGATGAAGACTCATCATTATATGAAACATCAACAGCAGTAAAATTCTCCCGTCAGGTTTTTTGGCATTTTTGACCCTGGCCCCAACCTAATAAAAGCACATACAACTGAATAGGCTTTGCTGAAATAAGAGGGAAGAATGTTTTAAAGACAGCAGAGAAGCTGATTAGATAAACTTACTGAAAGGGTTCACAGTAGTAAGTTCTTGTTGGAAAGAATCCTGAGCAAAATCATGGGAGTGTTACTTAGAATAAGGAGCAAGAGGCATTATTACTGAAGCAGGGATTCAGAGCAAAATTATGCAGCATGTCTCAGAATTAGTGTGTAAGAGGTTAGCACTCAAGCAGCATTTTATTAGATTTATATTTGGTCAAATGTTTCATTTGCTCACCACACTCTTCAACTGCTATGTTTTGTTCTGAAGCCTTGGGTGCCTCTGTAGCAGTGGTACCACTTCCACATCCACCTACAGTATCCCTGCTATTCACAATTAAACTGGGAGGAACTTGGCTTGCAGCTGAGGTTGCAGCTTTGTGCCCAACTTCAGATGGTTTTAGTTTGCTTTGAGCCTGTCCAGATTCATTTAAATCATAAGTTAAGAGCTTCTCCTCCAAGGAAGAGCCTAGATAAACAGCAGGAGGAATTTGTATTTGGTTATTTGTCTGCATTTGGATTCTTCTTCCATAACAAACTCCCTCTCCCTCAAAGTCACAAACTCCTACCAAGTGCCAATATTAACAGCTGATTCCCTGGAGGACTACCAGTCATTGCTCAGGATAACAATACAACTAGGATTAAACACCCTCTTCTATGACCTGACCCAACTCTGCAGTTACTGCTGTTAAAGGACAAGAAAGAAGATAACCAGCAGAACAGGGAATGCATAGAAATCCCTCTCAGCATTATGAACACTTCTGCCTCACAGCAGGATAAAAGGACTAAGCATTTGATCCAGTGCCAACTTAAATCTACAGGAGTCCTTAATTCTACCAGGCATCAAATGCACCCCTGCAAAAGGAATATGTAGTCAAGCATCATGTTAGCATAACAACCCCATTTATGCCTATCCCACCTTTCCTCTAACTCTCCTATTCTATACACTCATGAATAAAGGCCCCAACACACAGGAAGCTCTAGACTTAGTTGTCTAATGAATGGTACCATGCCATGCTATTTAACCTCTCTTAGGCCCACACAAAACCTCTTTTTGTATGCACTAGTGTGCAGCTCTCTGCCCCAGAAAAAGGAAATACATCACTCAAGATCATAGAAACTTGGTCCCACATGAGAAAAATAAATTATTGCAAATTACGAAAAGGTTACACACAAACAAATTCAACTCAAATCTTCTCTTGGAAGTCCCCTTTTGTGAGAAAAAAAATATTAGTAGGATTTAATGTAAATCTATTTCAAGGTATCTATTTATTACCTGTATGTGAGTTTTATTCTACTGTATTACAAGACTGAGCTGCACAGCATCATTGGTAACTTTTCCATGTAAATACCACCTTCAATTGTAGAGATAACGAAGATGTAATGAGTTACCTGTTTTATGGGTATTGAGTGAAGATGAAGAGGTAGAGAAATAAGGAACCTGCCCAATGGTACCATGCAGGACGGATGACACTGGAAGCTGGACTGAAGGGAGAAGTTGGACCACAGCCTTTTCTGAAAGCAGCTGCCCACCTTCAGTGGTAGGCTGGAAAGACTGAAAAGGCTGGGAAGAGGGTTGAGGCACCAGTGCTGGGGCTTCAACGGGCCCTTGTATAAAGTCACTAAATTCATCATCATCAAGAAAAGCAGAGGGTTGAGAGACAGTTACAGTAGGATGGGATGGTGAGGGGTGATCTGTAAATGGAATGAACAAACACACACATACACATGCACACAATGGAAAGTCATGAGGAAAAGAAACTACTGGGTTGAAAAACAAGGGAAACAATGTCTAGAAGTGGCAATTCTTAAATGTACATAGTGGCTAAAGAAAATTGGGAATATCAACAAAACCATTTGATCAAAAAAGGAGAAGAATATTCACTACACTGTCAACTACAGTACTGATGCACAAGGTAAAATTACGCTGCCATTTTCCACTATAAACCCCCTTTGCCAGGTCTTTATAGCATGGATATAAAGGGTTGAAATGTGAGACTTTTACAAGCCCACATTAGTTAATGTAAATTAATATAAACTAGGAGTTGGGTTCTACCCTTATTCTGCCACTGGCTTACTACTACATTTTAGGCAAGTCATTTAACCCCTGAGTGTCTAGGCTACTCACTTTCATAAAGCACACTGTTCTAAATAAATAGAAAGTGCTATATAAGTGCAAAGTACATTAAAAAGGTGCGACAGTCACCAGGTTCTTCTTTCAGGACAAGATTTTAAACAAGTAGTGCTTTTGTTTGCCCAAGTTGAGAAAGCTTAAGGTGACCCAACCTTTAGAATAAAACAGCAGTTCCATAGCATAGCATGTTTTTGGATGAAACCAAGAGATAGAACTCTGTCTATATCTATATCTAGAGAGAGAGTTTATATATATCTATCTATATATATATATATCTATATATATCTATATATATATATATTACATTACATTACATTACACACACACACATACATACACACACATACATATACATACACACACACACAAACTCCATGAACGGTTTTTTTTA